GGGTCCCTTGAAGTGAGCTACAATGTAGCTGTGGCACATAGATGTGGAGGGGAGCCAAGATCAGAACTCTTGGCTGCGGGGAGGCCGCCAGACCAGCCTCCTTGACAAACATACCTTTTCTTTCTGTACCAGGATGCTGCAGGGTGGGGAGAAACGGACCACATCCGCCTGGAGTTGACTGGGGAGCTGACTGATCCAGTCCATGTATTCTACTGGAGGTTTATGAATGATGCCTTGGGGAGGCCAGGCAGCCTGGGACAGCACACCTTTGATTATCAGATCGACCAGCTTGTTGACACTCCTGCTAGTGTCGGAAGAGAAAAGAAGACGATAGCGAATGGTCTGGATCTCCAAGCATCACCAACCAAGGAGGAGGAGAATCGCATACAGATGTACGCTATCATGGCTCTGGAAGTCCATGGTTGGGGGCTCTGTGTGTGTGTGTGTGTGTGTGTGTGTGTGTGTGTGTGTGTGAGTGAGCCACCCTGGGCGGTGGTGGTGCACGCCTTTAATCCCAGCACTTGGGAGGCAGAGACAGGCAGATCTCTGTGAGTTCGAGACCAGCCTGGTCTACAGAGCTAGTTCCAGGACAGGCTCCAAAGCTACAGAGAAATCCTGTCTCGAAAAACCAAAAAAAAAAAAAAAAAAAGAATCCTTTCTGCTCTTGTTAAGGGGGATCTTTCTCCCTCCTCCTTCCCCCGCTTTCCTCCAGAATGGACTACCAGAACCTTTTAAAAAATGGGAATTGTGACATCCCCTAGGTGTGGGTAGGAGTACCTAGCTCTTTGTTGGGGGAGGGGGAAGGGCACCATTCCCTTCTCGGGAGCTAGTGAATTTTCTTCCAGAAGCCTTCTGGACATCCTGAAGACATTTGAGCGGGCTCATCAGGTGACCTACAGTCAAAGTTCCAAAGTTGCCACCCTGATGAAACAAGTCAGCACCAGGTATATGACTGTGTGTTTGCAGAGGGCATCCTGAAAGTAGGGGATACTTTGTGAGATGTGATAGCGTGGCAAGGGTGATGGGTCTGCACGTTGGAAGGTCTTGGGCATGTTTACTCTCGTGTTATTCTGCGGCCTCTTTTCACAGTGGTCATTCGTGTCCTAGCCTCTGACTCATTCTCAGCCTGGAGAAGAAAGGCCGAGTGTACTTAGTTGGCTGGCAGACCCTTGGCATCATCGCCATCATGGATGGGGTAGAATGCATCCACACCTTTGGTGCTGGTAGGCCCTAGTCCTGATGCTCTCCCAGCCCATTGGGATACATTAGCAAAGCATTTTCCCGCAACCCTCGCCCCCACCGAGGTTCTCCAGTGCCCACCCATTCTGCCCTACATAAAGAGGCATTTCGGTCAAATGCTTTCATCACTTGAAGCCCCAAATGCCACCTTGGTCCTTGATCTCTCAGGTCCCACCCCAGTGCTTTAATTGTAGCTTCCCACACAGGTTACTACCGCTCACCTCACATCCCACTTCCTGACCCCATGACAGCCCTTGGATTAGAACCTTTCTATCCTCCAAAGCCCACCGTTCTTTTCTCTCTCATCTTAAATTTCTCAGATTTCCAAGATGTCCGTGGCTTTCTCATGGGTGACCACAATGCCATGTTTAACCAGAAGGCAGAGCTCACCAACCAGGTCCGAAGAGGACAGGACTTGGGAAACTGTAGAACTCATGGGTGTGCAGAGGGCAGTAGAGGGGTGGGGTCTGGGATGGAAGGAGGACGAGGGGGTAAACAGCCTGAAGCCTCAAAGCGCTGCGGTATCGAAGGCTCTGGATTTACCCTCGAAAACTCAGCTTTAGTCTACTGACCTGCTACGTCACCTTTGGTAAAATGCTACCATTTTGAACACTGGTTCTTTTCAAGTGAAGTCCAAAGGACTGTAATAGATGTCCCCCTAAGGTCCCCTAAGGTCTTCAAGTCTGTGCTCTTGAGCGTCTGGGAGGAGCTCCCCTATCTTCTTCTGCCCCAGGGACCCCAGTTCACTTTCTCCCAGGAGGACTTCCTGACTGCCATTCTGCCATCCCTTGTGGAAACTGACACTGTGGTCTTCATTTTCACCCTGGATGGTGAGCGGGAAGATGGGACAGTGGCGCTGAAAGCAGCAGCGGTTTAGAGGGGCTGCCACTTCGAGTCTCAGGGTGCCTTGTCAGAGGAAGGGTGTCTTAGTTAGAGTTGCTGTTGTGATAAACACCATGACCAAAATCAGCAGCCTGGATAGGGAAGGCTTTTTGTTTGTTTTTTTAGCCTTACAGTTTATAAGTCTATCACTGAGGGAAGTCAGGGCAGGATCCTAGAGACAAGACCCAGAGCAGAATCCGTGGATGAATGCTACTTACTGTCTGCTCCTCATGACTTGCCCAGCCTGCTTTCTTATTGCCCTCAAGACCACCAGCCCAGGGATAGCACCGTCCATAGTGAGCTGGGCCCACCAATCAAGAAAATGTGCCACAGGCTTGCCCATGGGCCATTCTGGTGGGGGCATTTTCTCCATAGAAGTTCCCTTTCCCCCAAATGATTCCGGCTTGGGTCAAGTTGACATAAAACAGAGGGGCAGAGGGAGTGTCCTGGCAAGACCCCAGGGTGGCAGGAAGAACAGCGTCATAGATCATCCTTTTAACTCGAATGCCTCCTGTCCCATCCAGATAACCTCACAGAGGTCCAGGCATTGGTAGAGCAGGTGAGAGAGAAGACCACGAACATCCAGGCCCTGGTGCACAGCACCGTGGGGCAGTCCTTGAGTGTCCAGCAATGGGGAGAAGATCTGATGTGGGAGTGTCATATATCAATCTGTTGATTTCATTGGTTAAGCAATAAAGAAACTGCTTGGCCCTGATAGGTTAAAACATAGGTGGGAGGAGTAAACAGAATAGAATGCTGGGAGGAAGAGGAAGTGAGCTCAGAGACGCCGTGCTCCCCTCTCCCAGGCAGACGAGATAGCTCTGCTCTCTGAGGCAGACATGATTCAGCTGCGATTGAGCTCCGACCCAGGATGGATGTAGGCTAGAATCTTCCTGGCAAGTGCACCTTGGGGTGCTATGCACATATTATTAGAAATGGGCTAGTCCAGGTACGAGAATTAGCCAAGAAGGGGCTAGAGCTAATGGGCTAAGCAGTGTTTAAAAGAATAGTTTGTGTGTTGTTATTTCGGGGCATAAGCTAGCAGGCGGCTGGGGTGCTAGGGAAGCAGCCCTGCCGCTCATATTACAACAAAGATCTGGGTGTGATACAGCCTAGGCCTCCTGGAACACAGCACCTCCGTTTATCTCTTTCTCCTCAGGCCCCTCTAAAGAGGCTCTTACCCTCCATCATCAGCATTACATGGCCACTTCTTTTCTTTGAATATGAAAAAGGCTACGTCCAGGTAGGCAGAGATGAGAAGGCAATGCCTGCTGGAGAGGAGACCTTACCCTCCAAAAAAACCCCAAAGCTAAATGGGAAAAAGCCTAAATATCTGTTTATCTTCTTTCCTCCCCAAGCTGGGAAAATTTTCAAATTATCAGGTCTCTAAACAGAGTTGCCAAGGCAACAGGGTTCATTTCTTTCTAGGAGCACACCGAAAGGGCGAGACAGGCCACCAATCACCACACGCTCATTTGTTCTCTGGGACGGGTTAATTGTTGATACCGAAGTCGTTATCACCACCCTATAGCGTCTAAGGCTCTTTTGCACGGCACCCTACGCTGAACACAATGCAGCTCTGACCACAATGGAGCCCTGTGCAATAGTGAAATTATAGTCAGGAGACACTGAGAGGCATCATAGACATCGTAAGAAGTTTGTGTGCACTTTGCAGTTTGGTTTGGAGTGGGCACCAGGAAATCTGGGTGCCAATTCGGCTCTACTGTGTGTCCCAAGAGAGAAAACAAGTTCATATCTCTGGGCCTTACTTTTCTCACAGTTGACCACCCACCTTTCACGGGGCGAACCAGGGCCCAGAAGGGATGCTGTGGGGGAGGTGTACTCTTTCATCTTTATTCAACCCACTTCCTTCTGGAAGCTTTCAGACAGAGCCAGGACACGGCCTCACTGAACCCAGAACTCTTTTAAAAAAATATTATTTATTTATTATGTACAGTGATCTGCCTGCGTTTGTGCCTGCAGGCCAGAAGAGGGCACCAGATCTTATTACCGATGGTTATGAGCCAACATGTGGTTATGGAGAATTGAACTCAGAACCGCTGGAAGAGCAGCCAGTGCTCTTAACTGCTGAACCATCTCTCCAGAGAGAACCCAAAGGTCTTACATAACCATCTCTCCCTAGTGGAGAAGCCACGCCCCTCTGTCCTTCACTCTAAATGGCATTCCTGTGTCCTATCCCTACTTATCGGCATAGTCCCCACATTCAATGTTCTTTTCTGACATTGCCTGCTTTTGAAGAAGTCTTCTCTGATTAACTTGACATTGTCTCTTTTTTTCCACACTTACACAATCCTGATGCTAAATACAAATATAGCCCTTTATACCCTATGAATCTTTCATATATATTAACTCAGTTCTCATAGCAATCTCCTAAGGCACGTGTGCTCAGTTTCCCCATCTCTCTAGCCCCTTCTTTCTGCTTCCTCCCTCCCTCCCTCCTTCCTTCCTTCCTTCTTTGTTTTTTTTTTTTTTGTTTTGTTTTTCTGTTTTTCAAGACAGGGTTTGTGTGTGTGTAGCCCTAGCTGTCCAGGAACTGGCTTGTAACCTAGGTTGTCCTTGAATTCACAGAGATATGCCTGTCTCTGCTTCCTGAGTGCTGGGATTAAAGGTGTGTACCATTATACATGGCTATTTCTGCTTTGAATGTAACGACATTTTATTTAAATTTTGTCTGTATTCAAATCTATTAGTTTTTTTCTCTTGTGGTTTTCAATCTTTCACTTGATGCTGCCTTCATCCTTCCATATGGAATTGTCTGAAAAACGTAGGTTTCCACTGGCACTGTGTCCTAGTGTGCTTTCTGCTGCTATGAGGGGAACTGAGCGAAAACAACATGGAAGGGTTAAGACCCTTCATCCTACACTTTCCATCATTTCGGGAGTCAGGCAGGAGCTCCAACAGGAAGCAAGAGCGGAGGTGGGACTGAGAAGGAAACAGCTTCCTGGCTTATTCTTCATGCTCCGTTTTCTTTCTTATAGAATATTCTATTACATTTTACTGTGTGTATGTGTGTGTGTGTGTGTGTGTGTGTGTGTGTGTGTGTGAAGGATCTGGCTCTCTTCTACCTTGTAGATCCAGGGGATTGAACTCAGATGGTCAGCAGGCACCTCTACCCACCAGGCAATCTCACCAGCTCTCGGCCTGCTTTCTCATACAACTCACAACCACTTGCTCAGGGGTGGCATCACCCACAAGAGTGGGCTGGGCCCTCCCGCATCAGTCATCAATCAAGACAGTGCCATAGAGACATGCCCATGGGCCAGTCTGATGGAGGCAATTCCCCACCGGAAGTCTCTCTTCCTAGGTGACTCCTGTGTGTGTCAAGTTGACAAACCCAGCACAGACTTGATTATCTTTGGTTGTAGAAATTTTTTTTTGTTTTTTTGAGACAGGGTTTCTCTGTGGCTTTTGGAGCCTGTCCTGGAACTAGCTCTGTAGACCAGGCTGGTCTCGAACTCAGAGATCCACCTGCCTCTGCCTTCCTAGTGCTGGGATCAAAGGCGTGCGCCACCATCGCCCGGCTTAGAAATATTTTTGATACTGTAATGTTCTTCACTTTTTGTTTGTTTGTTTGTTTGTTTGTTTTTTGAGGCAGGGTTTCTCTGTAGCTTTGGTGCCTGTCCTGGAACTAGTTTTGTAGAGCAGGCTGACCTCAAATTCACAGAGATCCGCCTGCTCTCCCTCTCGAGTGCTGGAATTAAAGGTGTATGCCACCACCGCCTGGTGGTCTTCACTTTTTAAAAAACAACATTTTATTTTATGTACATTGGTGTATGTCTGTGTAAGGGTGTCAGATCTTGGAATTACAGGCAGTTGTGAGCTGCCATGTGGGTGCTGGGACTTGAACCTGGGACCTATGGAAGAACGGTTAGTGCCCTTAATCACTGAGCCATTTCTCTAGCCCTGGTCTTTGTTTTTAATTTGAAACATTTTGCCTTCCTCCCCAGTCCTTTGCCACATTTACTTCATCCCTTTCGTTTCTCTTGCTCACCCGAAAGATAAGTGAATCTATCTTATATTTCACACTACACCAGGCAGAGGGGCACATACCTGTAATCCTGGCATTTGGGAGAGGGGAAGCAGAAGCAGAATCAGGAAGAGTTCAAGACCATCCCTAACTACATAATGAGTTTGAGGTCACCCTGAGTTACATGAAATCCTGACTCAAAAAACCAAAACCAAAATAAAACAAAAATCCAAAAAGCCAAAGCTCACACCAATCACTTCATAATAAACGTGCTACTGGCAAGCAAGGGCATCTGCTTCTGTCAGAAAGATGTAATTATCCATGCTGGGAATGACAGTTAATCTGATACCATTTCCTAAATTCAGATTTCCCGAGATGTCCCTGGGAAGGCTGTTATTCTCCAGACCTGGAATCCAATCAAGGATAATCTCCTGACTTTAGCCAGTAGGTCTCTCGGCTTTCACTTAACAGTCTTTTGGTTTTTTTTTTTCTTGTCTCTCTTGACATTGATATTTTTAGAAGTCTAGGCAAATCTTTCCCCAGAGTCACCTCACATTTCCAGCACATACAAACAACTCGCTGTATTGTTTCTTCGTCATATTCAGGCTTATGTTTTCGGTTTTGTTTCCTTTTGGAGGAGACTGGCATGTCACATCGGGAGTCGCCTGGCAGCTGTTTGTCTCTTCCTTGGCGAGGCTATGGTGGCTTCTTCAGTGGTGGTGACGGCTGCTATGGTTCTTTGCATGCTGTCACCCAGCTGTCCGTACCCACTGTGTTCGCATCTGCTGCTGATTTCTGCCTGACTCAATTGTTCCCGTGGTGACTCTCAAATGGCGATTTTCTATTTCTAGCCTTCTTCCTCTTATCTATATTCATTAATTGGCTTTCTTCTCTGAGGAACTTCCTATTCGCTCCCCACCCTATCTGTATTTGTTTAATGTCATTATGGACTCATGAATTTTCTGTTGTTTTTTAATGTTTAGATTTTTTTCTTTTAAAGACAGGGTTTTTATGTAGCCAAAGCTGGACTAGAACTCATTATATACCCCAGACTGGCCTTGAACCCGTAACCCTCCTACCTCAGCCTCCTGAACACTGGGATTATAGACATCTACCACCATGCTTGGTTTAGATGTATTTTAATGCATTTTATTTTATTTTTATATGTATGGGTGTGTGTCTGCTTGTCTGTACGTGCACCATGTGTGTGCAGTGCCATGGGCCAGAAGAGGGCATTGGATCTCCTGGAACTGGAGTTACAGGTGATCATAAACTGTGGCTGCTGGGAGTCTCACTCAATCTTATGCAAGAGGAGCAAGTGTTCTTTACCCTGAGCCTTCTCTCCAGCCCCTTAATACTTTCTCTCTCTGTCTCTGTGTCTGTCTCTCTCTCTCATTTATCAAAAATAGGGCTTCTTTGTGTAACAACCCTGACTGTTCTGAATCTCACTCTGTAGACCAGGCTGTCCTCAAACTCACAGAGATCCACCTGCCTCTGCGTCCCGAGTGCTGGAATTAAAGGTGTGTGTCATGCTTGGCTTCCCTTAATACTTTCTCTAGTATTAATTTTTCATTTTAATCCTCAGAATGAGAGCATATTCAAGGTGGCTTCCTTGATCCTATTCACATCCCTATTTAAACATAATTTGTATGTTTCTTTTTGAAAAAAAAGAAAATGAAAACAAACAAACCAAAAACCACCCTCTTATGTTTGGGCAAAGGGTGGCATACAATTTACATCTCATGTGCTTTGCTTAATATTTCTGAATATTACTCAACTGCAATGTACAAATCTCGTCTTCACTGACAGCTGTGCGCGCACATGGATGATAATTGACCTGACCAATTTCTTATTTGGAGCATCAAATAAGAATATTTTGCCATTGCCAATAATGAAGCAATGATTATGCACATTATCTCAGTGTTTCTTTTGATAAATATGTAGAAATTTAGATCTTGGTCAAAGCTTAAATACAAATATTATTTTGCTCTATGTTGTAAACTTTTCTTCCATAGGTTTTGTACTGTTTGCTTTTCACAATTGAAGTTTGAATTGATGCGGCTCCATACAGCACCCCCCCCCCAGAGAGTTTTGTCTAGCTTCATTTAATTTCTGTGTAATTTTCTTTTATAATATATTAGTTATTGATTTTGAAGAAGTGGGATGGTACTAGGCAAGTGTTCTGCCCCGGAGCCACTCCCCAGCCCGTATCTCTATGATGTGAGATACAGGAGCATCTTTCTCTCTCCTCCATCTCTCTCCCCTCTCTACTTGCCCCCTTATCCCTTCTTTCAGTTGTCCTGGACCTCCCCATGACAATCAACTAGCCTCAAATTCATAATGGCCCCTTCCTTTCTGCCTCCAGCATGCTGGGATTGCAGACTTCTGCCGCCATGCCCAGTGTTTACTTCTTTTTCCACCAGGCTTTGAAATCTCCGCTGACTCCTTTGGCCTTGAGTTCTTTACAAAGCCATTAGTGTTCTATTTCTGATGCATATTGTAAATATTTTCTCTTGGCTTTAGCTTGCAAGAAGTCTGCTTCAGTTTTTCCGAGGTTGAATGTGTCAATCTCTCTATTGCCATCTGGGGCTTGAAGCACAGAAAGCTCCTCCCACACTCATGTTGGTATGGCACCTCTGCTTCTTCTTGCAGTTCTTAGGAACTTTGTTTATTCTTGTGAAAGCAGCAAGGCATGAACTCATTATATTTTTCCAGACAATTACCTAAAATTGTCTTACTTGCTTTTCTATTGCTGTGGCTAAGCACCAGGACCAAGGCGACTTCTAAAAGAAAGCATTTAATTGGAGGCCTGGTTACAGTTTCAGAGAGGGCATCCATGGCCACCAGAGCAGGGACAATGCAGCAGCAGTCGGGCATAGTGCTGGAGCAGTAGCTGAGAGCTTACATCATCATCATCATCATCATCATCATCATCATCATCATCATCATCATTATTATTATTATTATTATTATTATTATTATTATTATTTTGAGACAGGGTTTCTCTGTGTAGCCCTGGCTGTCCTGGAACTCTCTGTAGACCAGGCTGGCCTCGAACTCACAGAGATCCACCTGCCTCTGCTTCCCTGAATGCTAGGATTAAAGGCGTGCACTGGCACCAGCCAGCTGAGAGCTTACATCTTGAGACAACAACCATGAAACAGAGAGTGTTAACTGGAAATGGCATGGACTTTTGAAACTGATTCAAAGTCTACCACCAGTGACAGGCCTCCTCCAACAGGGCTCTCGTAATTCTTTCCAAACTGTCCCACTAACTGTGGAACAAGCATTCAAATAACGTGAGCCTATTGGGGCCATTCTCACCCAAACTACCACACCAATT